GGGGTATCAGTACCCATTTTGTATTTTGTAATTTGAGCCTTCATGGGGTATTGATACCCATTCATAGGGGTATAGGTACCCGTTCATAAGAGGTATTGATAGGGGTATCGGTACCCATTCATAGGGGTATTGATACGCATTCATAGGGGTATCATACCTCTTAATATTTTTGCTCAAATATGAATTTAATGGACTTTGAATTATTTTTGAAACCTTTTGAAAAATTTGAATAAATTTAATTCAAGTCCAAAAACATTTTGCCTTAAATTGTTATATCAAAACATAGTTCAACATATTGAGAGAAGTACGATAAGAGCGTTAAGAATGTTGTTACCCAATAACGAGCCCGAGTCAGGTATCGGGCTAACCAGTGGATCATTCAATGTACTATAGACACCATAATCACTGGGAAATTCTAAAATGCTTAGAGACCTCTCCGGAGGTAGAAATGAGCAAAATACCCTATAAGTAATAATACCCCTCACATAACGTCTTAGGTGAGAGGACGAGCGGGATAGTCTCGATGAAGAGGATTTGACCTCACCTGACTTCTATAAGTTCAATAGCAGTGTGGCATCAGTTGACGTGTGTTAGGGCGTAGCTCTAGATGAGAGCCTTATAATAATAATAATAATAATAATAATAATAATAATAATAATAATAATAAGATAATAGCATTAATTGTGTGATAACCATAAAAATCTTATGAGGTAAGATTCCATAAGATTTATGCTCTTGTGTGTCGCTCGTGAAAGGATGACGACACCCGAGTAACTTTAGCAATAGAACGATTGTTTTAAGTGCATAAAATATTTGAATATATTATTGTAACACCCTGACCCGTACTTGACCCGGATACGAATCTGATGTGTCACATTGACTTTTTAACAATTGAAAACTTTGAAAAACTGACTAAAATTTGACTTTTTTACTTTTATTTGACACAGAAGAAAATGAAAACTTAATATCACATAATTAAAATACATATCAGAGCATCTATGATTTACACATTTTTAGTACATGCCAACAATTTGCAAACAATCAAATCACATACTATTTAATTCACTCGGATCTGATATCCTTCAGAGATATGTTGTCCTACCCTTGTTTACTATGCTGATGTCTCTGAACCTACGTGTGAAAACAATCAGACGCTAAGTCTTTGACTTAGTGAGGCATAATGAGCATAATAAAGCAATAAAACATTTATGTAAATTTTTCAAAAGAAACATTAAGTACAAAAACAACATACCCTTCATAACTTATAACATATATTATTAAACATTGATTAATTTATATCTATTTGACACTTGATTATACATTTCCTTGAAAACATTTCATATAGAAACCAATAGACATTTCATGAACATTTTATATTGTTATTCATTGTTTAAATTATATTAATTTGTTTTATTAGCCCAACGTATATCACTGAGAACTCAAGGTATGTGAGTACATTGAGGTTGTGCACTATAATTGCAGTCACCATTTCTCATATAATTTGCACCGAAGTGCCACGTAGAATATGCACTGAAGTACCACATAGATTTGTCTCGAAGGATCACGTAGAATTTATCCTAAAGGACCACGTAGAATTTATCCTAAAGTACCACGTAGAATTTGTCCCGAAGGACCGCGTAGAATCATCGACTCTTGGCATGCCAACTATACCCTTAATTCTCATAAAATATACCTTGGGCTTATTCCATATAATTATTTCACATTTATTATTCAAGTATCTTTTATTCACATAGTCTACGGTCATATATTCATATAAACATTTTCATGTAGTATTATCCAAGTTTATCATTCATTCACATAGAACTTTTTCTCATAATATTTCATTTCACATAGCACACATTCACTTAACACATATTCGCATATATCATATAATCTTACATTGGCTTAATTTGAAATCATTTATTGTTCTCCATAGAAATCATTCACATAATCAATATAATTAAAATATTTCACATACGATAAAAAGAACTTAGCATATAAAATAGTTTGGGTAATTCATACCCAAAATCATTCAAAAAATCATTTAACAAAACATGATAAAAATATATATAGTAAAACAATTTCTTTCCGAATCAGCCGAGGTTGGCTCATCGCAAGTCTTCCTCATTTTATACTTTGAAAGCATAAATAAAATGCACTCACCTTTGTCTCACTTAAGTCCTTAATCAAAGTTTCTTTTCACTTTCGCTAAATCTCTTACTACATCAAGCCGTCTTATACTTACACTTGATCGGAATCTACATATGAACATAACCAAAATGAACACCGGATCTCACATAGTTATTACCAAATCAGCATTTTCATATACTAAAGGAAACACCTAGTTCTCAATTTCAAGCTGAACAATATTGGTACTCTACACCCAGTACTTATACTTCTCTTCTATGGTATCGATACCCACTTTAGTATCAATACCCTTCTTGCATTCTGGAATTCCTTTTCAATTACAGTATCGATACCTTACTCATGGTATTAATACCTCCACATCAGTATCGATACTACTTCAATCAGTATTGATGCTGTTAATCTGATTCATACTATTTCTTGCAATTTAACCTTATAGTATCGGTATTGTTCTTCCAGTACCGATACTCTTGCCTAGACTTCATCTATTTTAATTCGAACTATCCCTAAAAATTCACTCAAATCTCTTACCATTAACTCTATGTATGCCTTTAAACTCCTTATCATTTACCCCAACTAACTTATATCCAATAATCTCCTTTTAACATCCAAATTTCTCCATATAACTCTAGAGACTAAAAATCATATCAATTTTTCAAACGTGTTCTCAATCATTTCTAAGACTTCAATTTCCTTATTTTACACCTTTGACAAGTCAAATATTCTTTTAGAATTCAATTACTAACCAAATTTCATACATTCACTTAAAAACCCATTTTACTTATTCATCCTTAATTCACCAACTCTTAGTTTTTATTCACCTTAAAGCTTTCCTTAAGCTTCTATACCACTCAAGGCTTTAAAACCAACCCAAAAATTAAAGAAATAACTAACTTGAAAGTAACATACCTTAACAATGGAGGTTTACGGTAGGAGAAGTGAAGAAGAGAAAATAACCCAAGTTTCCAGACTTCATTCTTTCTCTATTCCCCACATGCTTTAATATCTTTTAAAATGAATTTTAAATTCATTTCCTGCTAAAATACCATAATGCCCTTCCATTCTTTAATCTTTGATAACAAGTCCTAGACAACATTTTCCAAATCAATCCTTGAACTTTTTAATTTATCAAAATTAAAACACTAAGTTTTCAATCCTTACACTTTAGTCATTGACCCGATGTTTGGGGTATTACATATATCCAAGTCAGTGCAAGATGCACTTTAGTTGCTATTGAACGTATGACTGATGCTATGTGACCCATAAACGTTTCGAGTACTCAAGAGGAGTAGACTAGCCAGGCAAGGTATCGATGATGTGTGACCCGGACCTAGCCTAAAGTATTTGGAGGTGTCAATGCTATGTGACCCAGACCTCGCCTGAGATACTTGGGAGGTGTCGATGCTATGTGACCCGAACCTCGCCTGAGATACTTGGGAGATGTTGATGTTGTGTGACCCAGGTCTACCCAAGGTACCTCTATTAAGCAAACATATGTGCGAGTTCCGTGATGCTATCTGACCTCGAGCTACACCACGATGCTTACTTATTGTTGAGTAATAGTACTGTCGTTTCTGCGATACTGGGTACCGTCATTATGCTTGGCATAGTGATGCATTATAGGATGATAATGAAGTTAGAGACTTAGTACTTGTATACTCATGGCGAGGCCCTTAGCGAAGACTAAGGGAATATGAGATGTAGATTCGAGAGATAGAACTGGAGGACCTTACATAGGTAGCACCGATTGGAATCATGTTTATACCTATTGCTTAGTATTAAATCTTCAGCATGCTTGTGTTTATGAAATTCATATGATGCTCTAGATTAGCGATTATATTGTTGGACTTTGTAAGCTTAGCCTTCGGATGTTTTCCGTTGCTAGGTTTGTAGCTTGAGCAATTCGTGGAGCATCGTCGTCATAGGACTTCCAGCATCTCCGATAGAGTATTGTACTGTAGCTTTAGCTTTAGCAGGCATGTGTATTCATAGAACCTTACTTATGTATTTGAGTTGTAAACTTCAAGATGTATTATTTTGACTTAAATCATGTTTCACGGAGCTCTGGTTTTGTAAAAATGTTTTTATAGCAGTTGTTTATGTTTTATTATGATACCATTCAATACATTTGAAAAGAAAATGAATAGTTTTAGGGATCAGGGTTTGCCTTAGCAGCCCAATGTGACACTTTAAGCCCAATCAGGTTTAAGGTGTTACAGTAACGACAGAGGCCTGAATGAAAACGAACTAAAAGTTTGATGACTATATTGCAAGTTTTAAAAATTATGTGACCAAAATATACACACCCTTAAAGTTCAGAGACTATTTATATACTTTACCCTTTAATTTAAATTAAATAATATTATCTAATTTATTTTTAAATAAATTAAAATGATTATAAGATAATATTTATTTAAAAAATTAATTGTTGATAACGCATATATATCCATATATACCACTTAAACGTAAATCATTTAAAGAGAATAACACTCTTTTAATCATAGAAATCAACTAATAAATCCCTAATAATATTATTCACTTAATAATTCGCAGAATTAATAAATAAAATTTAGAATTAAATTATTGTTATAAATTAATAATATAATTGCGTGATTCATTTTTAAATGGTTGAATATTTCAAACATATATTCTTTTATATTCATCCAACTAAACTAATAAAAATGAATTAATTTTGCATATTACTTTAATATTTTATATTATACAAGAATGGCTTCTCAATATCTTGAAATTACATAAAAGCATATGATACACAAATAAAGGCGAGGGGATTTAGAGTGGTGGTGGTGGTTGGTGGATTTTCTATTTTTTCTCGCGAAGGATAAACAGGAAATTGAAAATCTAGAAGAAAAAAAGTTGTGGCTGTAAATTGCCCATGATTTTTGTTGTGTATCCCCCACTTCCATTAACCAATCCTCTTGACTCAGGTTTCATAAATACAAGATATTCAATCAAAAGAATGGAGAGAATAATCATAGAACAAATACTCATTTTTACTGTTATCCTCCATTAATAATGCTTAAAACTGCTTTTTGTTGACAAAAAGCAAAGAAATATCAGTTTTTTACCCAGAAACCAAGAATTCCGAGCCCTATAGTACACAGAGAAGATAAAATCTGGGTTTTTGTTTTTGGGAGATATGTGTAGCATAGTTTGGTTTAGAAGGGATCTTAGAGTTGAAGATAACCCAGCACTTTTAGCTGGTGTTAGAGCAGGCCCTGTTTTAGCAGTTTTTATATGGGCACCTGAAGAAGAAGGGCATTATCAACCTGGAAGGGTTTCACGATGGTGGCATAAAAACAGTTTGGCTCATCTGGATTCTTCTTTGAGGAGCCTTGGGACTTGTCTCATCACTAAGAGATCATCTGATAGTGTTTCATCTCTTCTCGAGGTTGTTAAAACCACTGGTGCTACTCACCTCTTCTTCAATCACTTGTATGGTTAGTTTCCATTTCTTTTCCCTGAGCTTTTTTTCTTGGAAAATTATACATAATAATTGAGAGATGAATTCTTATAGTTTTGATTGATTGAAGGATTGTTCACTAATTTTGGGTTCTCAGCATGCTCAAATTCAGCATCAAGCTTTTGAGTAAATCTGAAATCTCCATTAACAAGCTTGCCAGTAGTTCCATTATAGTTTCTTTATTTACCGTTTTCTATACAAAAAGATATATATATATATAATTTGAGTCTTCACTAGGCTTGCATCAGTGGAGAGATAGGTTCTTACATTTTTTAAGAGGAAATTTACTGTTCTTTTGCTTGTTTGCAGATCCCATGTCTCTGGTTAGAGATCATCGAGCAAAGGAAGTATTGACAGCCCATGGTATAACAGTGAGATCTTTCAATGCAGATTTACTTTATGAACCTTGGGATGTTACCGATGATAATGGCTGCCCTTTCACTACTTTTTCTACTTTCTGGGAAAAATGCCTCAGCATGCCTTTTGACCCTGAAGCTCCACTTCTTCCACCTAAAAGAATAGTTTCAGGTTATTCTCCATTGAATACCCTTTCCTTTTCTGTGTCGGATGCATATATGCGTATCGAAATATGATATCCCAAAGATCCTACAATGTCATATCCTTGTTGAAACTATACAAGTTTATTGCCCATTCTTTGTTTTCAGGTGACGTGTCAACTTGCACCATGGATCCATTGGTGTTCGAAGATGAATCGGAGAAGGGAAGCAATGCGCTTTTAGCTCGAGCATGGTCACCGGGATGGAGCAGTGCTGACAAGGCCTTGGCCACGTTCATTAATGGACCTTTACTTGAGTACTCAAAGAACAGAAGAAAAGTTGATAGTGCAACAACCTCATTTCTTTCCCCCCATTTGCATTTTGGGGAGGTTAGCGTCCGGAAAGTTTTTCATCTCGTCCGAATGAAGCAGGTTTTATGGGCTAACGAAGGGAACAAAGCTGGTGAAGAGAGTGTAAACTTATTTCTCAAATCAATTGGTTTGAGAGAGTACTCGAGATACTTGAGTTTTAATCATCCTTACAGCCATAAAAGACCTCTTCTTGGGCATCTTAAGTTCTTCCCTTGGGTTGTCAATGAAGGTTATTTTAAGGCATGGAGGCAAGGTAGAACTGGTTATCCATTAGTGGATGCCGGCATGAGAGAGTTATGGGCTACTGGTTGGCTACATGATCGAATTCGAGTTGTTGTTTCGAGTTTCTTTGTCAAAGTTTTACAGCTTCCATGGAGATGGGGTATGAAGTATTTTTGGGATACCCTTTTGGATGCAGATTTAGAAAGCGATGCGCTTGGTTGGCAGTATATATCCGGTACTCTTCCAGATGGTCGCGAGTTCGACCGTATCGATAATCCACAGGTTTGGTTGTAATATTTTTTAGCTCTCTTTCATGAAGTATTTGAAATCTAGTGTATGCATTCTCATCTAGTTAAAAGTTTTTTCTTTACAGTTTGAAGGTTACAAATTCGATCCGAATGGAGAATATGTCCGACGTTGGCTTCCTGAACTTGCAAGACTTCCAACTGATTGGATTCACCATCCGTGGAATGCTCCTGAATCTGTACTCCAGGCTGCTGGAATCGAGCTGGGGTCCAATTACCCTCTGCCTATTGTAGGAATAGATGCTGCAAAATCTAGGTTGGAAGAAGCACTTTCAGAGATGTGGCAACTAGAAGCAGCTTCAAGAGCTGCAATTGAGAATGGAACTGAGGAAGGCCTCGGAGACTCGACCGAGTCAGCGTCGTTTGCGTTTCCACAGGACATACAAATGGAGGAAAACCTTGAACCAGCAAGGAGCAATGCTCCAGCTACAACTCGGAGATACCAGGATCAGATGGTTCCTAGCTTGACTTATTCGTACTTAAGAGGTGAACAGGAAGAGCCTTCTTCCTCCCTTCGAACTTCTGCAGAAGAAAGCAGAGCTGAAGTTCCACGAACTATAAATATAAATCGAGAACCGCAAAGAGAAGACGCATTAAACCAAGGGATCCCAGAAACAGCACAGAACGAAAACATGTTGAACTTCCCAATGGGGTTGAGAAATGCCGAGGATTCCACAGCAGAATCATCTAGCAGTAGTAGGAGAGAAAGGGATGGAGTAATTGTTCCGGTTTGGTCCCCGCCATCTTCAAGTTATCCGGAGCAATTCGTTGGTGATGAAAACGGTAGCAGCGTGAGCTCCTCTTATCTACAGAGGCATCCACAGTCCCACCAAATCGTTAATTGGAGGTGGCGATTATCCCAAACTGGGTAAGTACATCTGAATCGTTGTTCCATGTCCAACTGATCAATAATGACTCTAATGCCAGTGTAACCATGACTACTTCCACAATATGATTCGCAGGTAATAGAACAAATACACACTCAAGGCTGTGGCCTAGTACTTGCGGAATACTTGGTCTAGTGGCCGGATCGGACCACAACATGGTGTGTTATCGACCCGTCTATTGCCCACCAGTCTAACACCATTTGTAGTTGTCTCTGGACTTCCATGACTCGTCTGCTATCCTTTTTTTCTCTGTCGATATTCTACCGTATGCATAGCTCTGCTGTATAGTATTTTTCTTCTCTATCAAGGAGGGAAGAAGAGATTGATGGTAGAAATGTGGTAATCCTGTAATAAAACCATTTAACTAATTAGAATGTTATTGTATTGTAATGTATAATCCCTTCCAATGTTGCTTCTACTCTTTATTTTTCTCGACTTTCTTATATTTGTATCCATAATTTTTTAAACAAAATATTAGAAAATCAAACGAGTAAAATACATATTTATATTCAATACTCACTCAAATTTAGGTATTTGAAGACATGTTGGCCATTGAAACTCTCAAAATAAGTGTCAATTGCTTCCTTTCTATCAGTAGCCTTGTATATTATGAAGTTTTGCGGTGAGACGGTTAAAAAACGGTGTGATTAATTAAACAAGTGGTTAATTAAAAAAATATCGTTTTTTTTAAGGTTGATAATAATGTAAACTGTAAAAAAATAGGCGCTACTTATTACATTAAAGTACCTACCGGTTTTTTTGAAGGTTGGTAATAATATAAACGGTAAAAAAAATAGACGTTACCTAATACATTAAAATACCTATCGGTTTTTTTAAAAGTTGCTAATAATGTAAACAATATAAAAAATAGGCGTTACCTATTACATTACAATACCTACCGGTTTTTTTGAAGGTTGCTAATAATGTAAACGTTAAAGAAATAGGCGCTACCTATTACATTAAACTATCTACCGGTTTTTTTGAAGGTTGCTAATAATGTAAACGGTAAAAAAAATAGGTGTTATCTATTACATTAAAATATCTACCGGTTTTTTTTAAGGTTGCTAATAATGTAAACGGTAAAAAAAAATAGTCGCTACCTATTACATTAAAATACCTACCGGTTTTTTTGAAGGTTGCTAATAATTTAAACGGTAAAAAAAATAGACGCTACCTTTTACATTAAACTACCTACCAATTTTTTTGAAAGTTGTTAATATAACAGGTAAAAATATGATAAACTCGGTTTATTAATTACAAAACCGATAAAGCGCTACCGGATATGTTGAAAGTATCGATTCTATTTAAATAAGTATAAACACTTTTGGAATTTAAAAGAAAGTAGTAATAGCGCCTATAAAATATCTATACTTTATAAAAATGTATCGATACATAACAATATAACAGGTAAAAATATGACAAAACTGATTTCATTATGACAAATCCGGTAAAGCGCTATCATATATGTTGAAAGTATCGATTCCATTTAAATAAGTATCGACACTTTTGGAATTTAAAAGAAAAGCAGTATTAGCGCCTATAAAGTATTAATATTTTATAAAAATATATCGATACATAACAATATAACATGTAAAAATATGACAAAATCGGTTTCATTATAAAAAACTGTTAAAACGCTACCAGATATGTTAAAAGTATCGATTTCATTCAAATAAGTATAGATACTTTTGGAATTTAAAAGAAAAACAATTTATGTTTCAAAAAATTTTAATAGTTCTCCATGTTTTCCACTTACAACATTAATTTAATAATTTCATTTACACAAAAATCATTTGATTGTTTAGATATTTTATAAAATATTATTTAGAATTTAAATTTAACAATTTTAATCAAAGATAATAATAAATATGTAATATCTATGTTTATTTTTTTTAATTTAATAATAATATATATTGTAACATAAAAATAAATCATTAAACGCATATAATTACTAAATTAATATCTTAAAATTCACTCAAAAGATAACCCTAAATTAATATTTTTCACATTGAAGTAAGTATAAACACTTATATATATGTATCGATACCTACCGATAATCAAAATTTACCGATTATCAAATTTAAAAATAATTTTTCATATTTTCTACTTACAACATTATGAGTCTGGCAACATAATAAGTATCATTTTACTGAATTTATTAATTATCTTATTAAATTTTCAATTACACCTTTTTTTAACTATATATTAATCTGTCTTTTTGGAGACAACCCTTGTATATTATTTCGCTGGTACACGTTAAAATCATGACAAAACATGACAACAGAATTGCTACATTTTTTTATTTGTACTTTTGATGGTAATAATTTTGATTTCTAATATAAAGCTAAGGTCGGGTGTTAAAACAATTCTAACAATATTAAATTAATACATATATTCTTTCACGGGTAGGAGACCCAAAAACTAGACTTGGACAATTCGGTTAGGTTAGGTTCGGTTCGATTTAAAAAATAACAAATTCATTTTGAATTTATTACAAAATAAATTTAAATAAATCAAATATTAAAATTAATAATTTTTTATAAATTTAAATTTATATAGTTGCACTTGATTTAAAATTTAAACTTTCTTTTTTTAGAGATTGAGTATGAAAAATAGTGAATAGTCAAAAATCGTAAAACCAAACCAAAAACTATAGTTTTTATACCATTCAGTTTCAATTTTTGAAAAACCATAAAATACAGTACAATTCATATTTTGATGAAAATCGAACTAAATTGAATACACCCTTATATTACTGGAGTGCTCTCTGTGTAAGAAGAAATAAATTAAATGAATCCATTTAAAATATCTATTAAATGTGAAAATAAAAATATAATAAAGGAATTAAATTCATCAAAATTTTCAAATATGAAATGTAATAATTAATTAATAAAAGGGTAAATATACATTTAATGCCTAAATTATTAGTTTTAGTCTGTTTTAATATCTGAACTTTTAATTTTTTTCAAAATCATACCTAACATTTTGTTTTTATTTTGTTTTAAAGAACTTAACGGGAGATTTGAAAGTGACTAAAGTTTAAATTACATCATTCATCACTCAACTATCTTCTCACTCCTATTTTGGTCACTAAAGTTTAAATTTTTTTAATTTAATTACTTAACTTTCAAATTATTCCTAATTTAATCACTCTAACTTTTTAATTTATTTTTTTTTATTTTTAATTATATATTATTAAAATAATAATAAAAATGTCATGTCACAAAAATATTAATAAAATAAATTAGAGTAATTAAAATAGGTGCAATTTAAAATTTTAGTAGTTAAATTGAAAATATTTAAACTTTAGTATCAAAATAAGAGTGAGAAGATAATTTACCCATAAAAAGGTGCAGTGACGTTAAGTTTTTAACGGCGATGTACTAAAATGAAACAAAAATTAAACGTTAAACATGATTTTGAAAAAAATTAAAAGTTTAGATACTAAAACGGATAAAACTAATAATTAAAGGTATTTGCCTTAATAAAAATATAATTCACACAACATTTAAATATATATTTATACATGGGTTTCTCAAGTTCAGTAGTATTAAAAGAATTTAAATTAAAATTCGAACATAATATTATACAACGTTACAAATATAACCATTATGTACTTTTTAATAATATTGACTTTTAACGATATAATAATGTAATATTATACCAAGTGTTAAGATAATTACCATCTATTTTTTGAAAGATATATTTATTAAAGTATAATTAAAATATAAAAATAAAAGATATTGAAAAATTGAAAATCCACTCTAAAATTACTTTTCAAAGTCTGATTGTATCGTTTGAAGGAGAAAGTTCTACAGGGCGTCACCTTTAATATACAGTTAAAAAAAGACGCTATTAGTTTTGTTATTATTTAAATAACGAAATTGATAAAAAACTACCTAAAACATTATTATTTATACCTAAAACATCAATTTTTTTAACATTTCTGGTAAAGTGCCCAACAATAATAAAACTGGTAGAAATAATAATATTTTCGATAAATTTTTACCGGATTTATTATTTAAATAATAATAAAATCGATAATACTATTTTTAACCGTATATTAAAATTACCGCACGTGATCATTTAAGGTTGGCCTGTTCATGTTGACGTTTCTTAATAAAATTATCAATACTATAAATCTAGAGTTTTCTGATCAAAGGATTGCGTGTGAAAAATGGAGTAAACATGTTTGGTAAATCTACAGCGATTGCTAGCTTTAAAGTCTTCGTTAATTTATTCAAACCTTTTGTTGTCACTCTATTTTGGTTTTTACATAATATGCATATCAAATAATAATATATAATTAATTATATATCATAATTTTATCATTAAAAAAATAATTCTAATTAAAAATTCAATCTTTTGCGAGTTTTCCTTTTTACCGATTGAATCAATTTTATACAAATTTGTAGAGATTCTTTTTAAAGATGTACAAAATGTGAATAGACCATCGACTTTTGAATTGAAGCTACTGATAGGTCGGTCCTATAATCGCATATTGATTTGATTCTCTAACCTTGTTTGCCCATTTGAGGGTAAAATCGGAATGGGTCAAAGATGAATGCATTATGTTTACGTCTTTGTTATTAATAGCGGCGGGCCATTGAATGTAAAGATCTTTGTGATTTTATTGCATCAACAGCCTACCAAAATGAAGTACATCTACATTGCATTCCATCGATCAACAACACTATCAAAGAAGGGTTTTCTCCCATTGAATATGAATGATAAGGAGGAGAAAAAAAAACATTTATCATAAATGACGCTGCCAAGGAATTCTATTTTACTCTTTCCCTATAATTCTCACCTTACGTCATTGAATTAACTCTTTAGATCTTCACAATCTTAATCATGTGGTGGTATAGTTATAAATGAGACATACCATGAAAATTTAAATCTACTGATATAGTTTCTAACTTGCAAGGGTTTCTCAGATTTGAGTACTTACAAGGTCCTATGTATGCCTTGCGGATCCATAGGAGTCATCGAGTTTTGTTCTTGTCTTCCTCTGTTATCTTTCAGTTTTCTCATTTCCGATCTAAATATATGGTATCCCTCAGTCATGGTGGAGCTTTTATGATGATTGCTTAAACATGCACAAAATGAATTTGAGTACAGTGACTAGAACTTCAGGTTTCTCCCGAGAAATGGTTCTTAGCTTGCTTGTCTTTTGAAGAACGGTTTCTGACAGATAAGGAGTCTCTCGTTACTGTTACTTTCGATTTCTATGACTCGGGCCTCCCACTTCAACTGCCTTGTTAGAGACCTAGGCGATTCGATAAACGGAGCTGTGTCGTGGATAATTATCCAACCCTGCATGAATCATCGATTGAATCACTTATTAAAACAAAACAATTCCATTGGAAGTGTAACAATTGTAAAGGTGTTTGCATGCCATCAGTGT